AGTTGCTAGTTAAGGAGAACTATATATTTTCTCAAAAATTGGGGTTTGTGGAAAAGTTTCATAACTTGAAAGAAGAGTCAGCACACATAATTATTACAGACCATATGGCATCTGCTTTATTGGAAGGAAGGGTTTTGCAAAGATGTACTCCTCTCAAATAGTTGATTTGTTTATTTTCAGTGGTTGGAGATGAAATAGGTGAAACCAAAATATAGAAAATTGTGTTAGTAATGCCCATTTAGTTGATTTGTGTACTTTACAGTATTCTACCTTATTCCACAAAGTATTGGAGATAAGAGTTCCATGTTGTATATTTTAATGACTTTGGAATATTTCTGTTTAGGGTAGAGGTTTTCTAAATATTTTGATATAAGTGGAGAATATTGTTTTGTTTATTGCTTTAAAAATCCTTTAGTGTTGATAAAAATATTTTGATATATTCTTTATATTTAAAGTTAGTTCCATACTTTTCTTGTTCTGTTATGCTTTTACTGTACAGAACTCTAACATTCAGGAGAGGTAGTTTGAGACTGTACAGATTCTGCTATAATGTGAACTAGTCCTCATTTTTTAATGGATCTAAAGCTTCTATTTTATGGCTCTAAAACCATTGTTTTCTTGATCACTTCACTTCCATTACAAGCACTAATGATTAACTTTTTGAGAAAGACCACATTTTCTATTTTCATTTAAAAAAGTAAATTTTTACTGCATTCACTGAAGACTAGTATAAGGTAATAAAGCTCCAAAATTTTGTCTTGCGAGTGGGTGACTGAATTTATTACTAGCTAAATGACTGACTGTAGAACTATGTCATAGTTCTTTACTAACAGTTAAAATCACAAATATCAGGGTTCTGCTTTACCTTATTTTTGAAGTATTCATAAGGTGAAAACAGTAAAGAGAATTCTGAGCGTCTCACACTAGCTTAATTTTCCTAAAGATTAGGAAGGAATGCAAGATGTTTTTCTTGTATTGTTGCCTATCTTGAAATTCTTCACTGATGCCTTCAGTATAGGATAAAGTCAATAGACTAAGCACTCTATGGTTCTTCTACAGATTTATTTTTACCTATTTTTCCAAACTAATTTTGAACATTTGTTCAAAAAATAATAGTATTTACTATGTACTGGGCAATATACTAAGCTTTCAAAATATAACACTAAATAAGAAAGACTTAATCCCTGTCCTCATAGACTTGCCTAATTGCTCCAGCCTAACTGATGAGCATGATTTAAATAATAGCGTGTATCGTTACGCCTTTTTACCTTTGCTTACTTCATTATTTTTTCCACAAAATCCTTTCCCTTCAGCATCAAATTTTACCCACATTTCAAACTTCCACTCTGGTGATATCTCCAATATCACTATTCTCCCTGTTCATGCCAGGTCATTTTAGTCTGTTGCCACTCTGAATGGCTGTGGCAACTAATTCGTACTGTTCAGTTACAACATTCACTTATAATTATTAATAAATTCTAATTTTTAACTTCTCATGTGTGCATCTCCCCAGATAGCCTATAAGGTTTTGGATGGCCAGTCTGTTCTCTGCAATCCCTGCAAGTGATTCGGGTCCTTCCCACATGCAAAACGCACTCCCTTCCTTTCAAGGTTCCCAAAGTCTCATCCCATTGCATATCTCCTCAGAGTCCACAATCTCTACATCAAAATCAGATCCAGATGTAGATGAGCCTCCTTGGGTATAATTGCTTAAATATAACTCAAATATTGTTCTTCTGAATCTGAAGACCTGTGAACTGAAGAGACAAGTTCTTTAGCCCCCTCAACCCACATACACCACCTACACACTCAGAATACAAGGATGGGATATGCATAGGATAATTTCCATAGACTTTCCTGTCCAAAGAGGAGAAAATAAGGGGCACAAAGGAGTCATTGGTCCATAATGATTTTGAAATTCAGGTGGGCAAACATTGGAACTTGATTAGATCTCAAGGCCTTGCGATATTTCTTCAGGGTTCCAGACTTTGCACTCTGAGTCATCCTTCCTTTTTCATGAAATGTAGCATGCATGTGTTTGCAGCTGAGGAGTTTCCTCAGTCTGCTTCCTGCTAGCAGAATTTTGGGGGTTGAATGGTCTCATTTCACTTTGTACTGTCACTGTCTCTCTCAGTCGAAGTTAGGAATGTGTTTGCTGAAACACTTCTCTCAAAAATTTGGCAGCCTCCTGTGAATCATATTGGGGTTTATTCCATTAGATAAAAGCCACAGCCAAGAATCTCTTCAAAATATGGACTTCCACAGAGATATTAAGATACAGTGCTCTCAAGCTTTCTAGAAGACCTATTGTTTGACTGAGAGGATCTGTGAGATACCCATAATCTGTTTAATGGACGTTTTGTATAACTGATTAATACTGTGAGGTATCACCCTTGAGCTTTCTGGATTCTTAACAAAAGATTTTACAGTCAATCCACCAGTTTTATTTTTAGGTGGTGTTCTGGCCATGCCCTGGATTCAGACTTTGTATAGAAGCCTTTCTTACCTTTAGCATCTTTTGCCATCTTGAGAAGCTGAGACTTTTCAAAATCATTCATGTCCTGGTCTTTTTGTTGTTTAACAGTCCTTTCTTTAGTTTAGCTTATCTTTCTTCTCTTGCATTTTACTGAAGCGCCAAGGAAAAATAGGCAGCACCTACCACACTTTGACTCTGCTTGGCAGTCTCCGTGGCTAGATCATTCAGTTCATTAGGCACATTTCCTACTTTCCACGTTACTGATAGTAACAGTGTTGCAGAGTTTCCAATACTACTTAACAGGGATCTGCCTTCCTCCAGTTTCCAAAAACATTTTCTTCTCTTCCTTTTGAGCCTTCATGGGAAGTAGACGCAAAGTCCAGCTTTCTACTAACACACTGTTCAAGCAATTTAGGTTTTCTCTACCATGCTCCTAAAAATCCTTCCAGCCTATGCCTACTGTCAAGTTCCAAAGCTATTCCAATATTTTTAGTTATTGTGGCATCACCCCACTTCCAGCTTTCAAAATCTTTTCTAGTTACCTCTTCCTGTGTAACAAATTTAGCAGCTGAAAACAACGAACATTTATTTTCTTACACTTTGAATGGGTCAGGAATCTGGGTGTCGCTTAACTGGGTCCTCTGCCTCCAGATCTCTCTCGAAGTTGTAATCAAGGTATCAGCTGGGGCCATGGGCTTATTTGAAGGTTCAGCCAAGAGAGAATCTGCTTCCTGGTTCACTCATGGTTGTTGGCAGGATTCAATTTAGATTCTCTTGGCTTGGGGCCTCTTTCAGGTCCTTGCTCTTGGTCCTTTTTCATAGGGCAGTTGACAACATGGCAAGCTGGCTTCCATCAGAGCAAAAGAGAGCTGGCAAGACAGAAGCCAGGATCTTTTTGTTACCTAGTCTTGGAAGTAACATCCCATCACTTTTGCCCTTAGTATTCTCTTTGGTAAAAACAAAGCAAATCTCCTACACATGAGTGGAGGAGATTATACAAGGGCATGAATACCGGGAGGCAGGGATCATTGGAAGCCATCTTAGAAGCTATAAGATCTTTGGCTACTAGTTGCATGTGAATCTGCATTTACTGGGTTTGAAAATTGGAAGAGTATCTAGAGCACACCAATGAAATAATATTTATTTACTTAACCATTTAACTGGAGGTTCTTCACAACCTTGTAACTTACTGAAACTTGAAAATAGTTTTATAAGCTTAACTTCACATAAGCCCAATTTTTTTTTTTTTTGGCGGTACACGGGCCTCACTGCTTCGGCCTCTCCCGCTGCAGAGCACAGGCTCCGGACGCGCAGGCCCAGCGGCCATGGCTCACGGGCCCAGCCGCTCCCGGCCTCTCACTGTTGTGGCCTCTCCCGTTGCAGAGCACAGGCTCCGGACGCGCAGGCCCAGCGGCCATGGCTCACGGGCCCAGCCGCTCCCTGGCATGTGGGATCCTCCCGGACCAGGGCACGAACCCGTGTCCCCTGCATCGGCAGGCGGACTCTCAACCACTGCACCACCAGGGAAGCCCACACAAGCCCAATTTTATTCATATATTCACATGAAGTATGATGGAATATAGAACTTTTAGAGCACATTTGACTTTGGACAAATGAATCAAGGACCTTTTTTTTTTTCTTTTTCCCGGGTACTGATACATGTCAGTATTTATAAGATGCATGAAATGAAGTAAATGATTTCACTTACTCTAGGTTAATTCTGAGATAAATTATTCCTTCTTACTGTAGTTTTGGAATTATGGTAGAAGAGATAATATTGCCTACACTTTCAGTGCAGTAAATATAGATAGTATGACTCTAGGAGTAATTATACATGCAAACACATATGAAGAAAAATCCTACTGTTTTTGGTATTGGAGGAAGGGGCTGGGAAGAATGGTTGTAATATCCTATACGTATCCTGGAAATATATTTTCATTGAAAGGTGGAAATATGTGAAGATTTTTTTTCTTTGTTGGTCGTATTTCAGTGTTTTCATTATTCCTGCCCCAAAACTTTTAAACTCTTGGCACAGAAACCACTTTAATCTAACAGATAGACATGCCAAACTGGCCTGAAAAATAATAGTAATTACTTTTTTCCATGGATTATTTTAGTGTTATTTGGTCCAAAACTTGGCTTTGTGTGGTCTGATAAATATTGTGATGTTTAGATTGAAAATGAGTATTGAGCACATTTAAGTAATTCTTTCATTTTAGGGTTTTAGAAGAATCATTATTTTTCTTCCATGTTTCCCAGAAAGTATGGGGGTTTGTTTTTTAGTTATGCTATAAAAGATTAAGGTGGGGTGGAGGAAGAGAATTTGTATAGTTACCTAAATCTGTTTATTTTCGAGTTGCAACTGAATCTCTCACTAGGTTTGTGATCTGAGAAAAATTGCCAACAACAATAACAATGTTATTAAGTAACGTTGTGGATATCTAACCATGTTTTAGGATACCATTAACACAGTTCCTTTTTAGATTATCCCGAATGTATAAAGTTGTCTTATTCTCTTTTACAGGTAATATAACATTACAAAGCAAGACGGGTAACATCACAGTAGGTATGTGCTAAGCGGTTGGTAAATTTCGTGTGCTTTTTAAAATAGCTATATTTGTGATATTTAATTAGAGTAAATAAAGTCTACAGTTTAGCTGATGAACCTAATAGGATCCTAAGATACCTATTAGGATTCTGCCTAGTCAAATATAGGCAGACCCAGTATAGGAATATGTGAAATTATTTCTGCAAGTTCATTGGTTCATCATCCTATAAATACTGTATAATTATAGGTTTGGTATCAATCAGAATACTGTTAAAATTCTGATTTCACCACTTTCTACACATGGGCAAATTACCTAACTTCTCTGTACCTCAGCTTACACATCTGAAAAAAATAGAAATAACGGTAAGTACCTATCGTATGGGGTTCTTGTAAGGATTAAATGAGGTATATAAAGTACTTTAGCACAGTGTCTGACATATGCTTAAATACTCAATAAATAATAGCCATTTAAATTATTGTAATTGTTCTAATTCTATGCCAGAACTAATAGTGGCTAATGGTACTTTAGACCTAATCACCACATGTGATGCTGTGCCTGTGGGAGCAAAAGTTCAGATTTCCAGATTGTTTGTTTGTTTGTTTTTGGCTGCGTTGGTTCTTCGTTGCTGCGCGTGGGCTTTCTCTAGCTGTGGTGAGCGGGGGCTACTCTTTGTTGCGGTGTGCAGGCTTCTCATTGCGGTGGCTTCTCTTGTTGCGCAGCGTGGGCTCTAGCACGGGCTTTAGGTGCGCTGGCTTCAGTAGTTGTGGTTTGCGGGCTCTAGAGCTCAGGCTCAGTTTGTGTTGCATGGGCATAGTTGCTCCGCAGCATGTGGGATCTTCCCGGACCAGGGATCGAACCCATGTCCCCCATACTGGCAGGCGGATTGTTAACCACTGTGCCACCAGGGAAGTCTCTTCCAGATAGTTTAGACAGAGCTTTTCTCTAACCCAAATAGCACCTGCTTGCCTGTTGAGTGAAGGAACACTGTGAGCTCTAAGAGTGGTGGTGGTTTTTTAGGGCTTAGAGGGTGGGGATTTGGGGATGGGAAACTCCCTCTTTATTGAGTAGCTGTGGCTTATTGCCAGTGTGAATGCCCAGGCCTCCTGGTTTTGTCCTTTTTGACATTTGACATTTTCTTTTTCTTTGTGCTGACTGAAATAGTGAATATACCCAACAATCCTTTTCACTATCATTCCTTCTGGATTCTCTGGCTTAGAGTGCACATCCTTTTTTAAGTTTTCTAGACATTTTAACTTTTATGTTCAGTGAGGGATAAATAGAAGATAAAGGCTTCCTAAGTGATGATTATAAATCATTTTAACTAAAACATGACAGGATTTACCTGTTTTCCAGTGAGAATGCAAAATTCACTGCTGACTCTTCAGGCCATTTCATCAGAGGGTACATCTGGGGATAGTAAGGGAAGTGTCTAGGGTGAAAAAAAGGTACACGAGTGAGAAGCTGAGCTAGCTGAGGAGAGAAAGTCCTAGACATGGGTGGAGTTTGTAGCAGTAGGGAAGGAGGAAAAAGAAGGGGAATATTCCAAATTGGGAGGCATAAGAAGTTTCATTACCCACTAGCAGGCCCTTTAGGCAGATGTGAATTTGAGGAATACTTAAAATCTAATGTAATACGATAATGCTAGTATTATTGTTGGATGGAATTGTGGGAACGTAAAGGGAAAACCATTCTCTCTAAAACTGGAAATAAATGGGTTATTTATCCATACTGAAAAAGAATAGTAATAGCAAGGATGAAATGATCAGTAATTTACATCTTTGAAGATGGTTTTGCACTCTGTATAATTAACATTGTGAATTCTTGTTAATTTCCCCTATAAACTTTCCCCTTTTCCCACTATTAAGCATTAGAGAGATTTTAAGGCAAAGTGTTTTATTTTTCTTAAATAAATCTCTGTTCATTCAGAGAAAATTACCTGAGCTCAGTGTTAAGAAGTATAACTGACCACAATTATAGAAATATTTAATGAGCCTTTATAATTTTCTTCAGTGAAACATAAATGGCATCTGTGGCTTTAGGTTGTTCTTAAAAATTCCAAATAAGTGAAGGTAAATAAAGGTTGAATTTCTAATTTTGTAAACATCATTGACAAATTTTGAGTCCTATTTTGGAAGAATCTTTCAAAATAAGAGAAAAAGTATACATTTATTAAGTTATCATGATCTGTGATAGTGTGGAAAAGCATGGACTTTAGAAGACTGTGAATTTTGGTCCTACCACATGTTAGCTGTGTGGCTTTGAAAAAATTACTAAATCTCTGAATTTGCATTTTTATACATCGTTACCACCCCTATAGCCCAAGGTTTTTCAGAAATTAAATAATGTAAAGCACAGCCCAATGCGTGGTAGTCATTCAGTGTTTAACCTTAATAATAAGGGAAGTGTTCATTTCTTAAATTCCTTTAATTCTTTGAATATCTCTATTAAGACTTTGGAAGAAAGTATAAACTATGTCACTGTTTATATTGATCTTAAGATTGTGTTAGCACTTGGAGACAACCCTGAATATGGCAATAACTAGTCGACATATATTTACCGAGTGCCTGCTTTATAATAGGAACTCGTTTAGGTACTGAGAAATATGTTGGTCAACAAGATGTCTTTATGCTCACCTTCGGGCTGAGAAAAAAAAAACAGTCGGTATGTAAATAACAAAAGATAATTTCACATAGTACAATGAATAAATAAGAGAGGGTAATGGGATAAAGAGAGGGGAAAAGAAAGCTACTTAGTTTAGCAATCGGGGAGGGTCTGGAGAAGAGATATTTGAATTAAGCCCAGAGTAATGGGAAAGAGGCATGTAAAATCCTGGATGCACAGCTGCCCAGATAGAGGACAGCCAGTGCAAGCCCTTAAAATGGAATTAGTTTATAATTTTTGAGATATAGAAGGGAGACTTGTGGAGAAAGTGGTGTGAGGTGAGGTGAGAGCTAGATCACAGGGCCTTGTAGATGTGGTAAGAGTTGAGACTTTATTCCAACTACAACAGGGTGGTAGCAGGGTGTATTTAAATACAATTTGTATTTAAAGAGAACAACCTAGTTGTTGTATCAGAGGGGTGCCAACGTGGAAGCAGGTGACTAGAAAGCTTAGTTTGTTTATCCATTCTCCTGTTGATGGCTACCTGAGCTGTTTCTAGTTTTTGGCAATTGTAAATAAAGCTGCTATGAACATTCTTAGACAAGTTATTTTATGGATATGGAGATTTTATATTTATTTATTTGTTTGTTTACATATTTTTATATATATAAAATTGACCCTTGAACAGTGCAGGAGTTGTGTCAACCCTCCCTGCAGTCAAAAATCCACATATAACTTTGCAGTTGGCCCTCTGCATCTGTGATTCTCCATCTACGGATTCAGCCCACCTTAGATTGTGTAGTACTGTAGTCTGTATTTAGTGAAAGAAATCATATATAAGTGGACCTGCGCAGTTCAATCCCGTGTTGTGTGTATGTATTTATTTTACATGTATGTATATATGTATTATATGTACGTATATGTATGTATATACATTTATTTTATTTATATGTGTATATATAATATATATGTGTGTATATATCACACATACACACACATATATATATGTATTTTTTTTTCCTTCTTAATACCTAGGAATAGAATTGCTGGTTTGAGGGAATTCCCTGGTGGTCCAGTGGTTAGGACTCCACGCTTTCACTGTTGAGGGCCTGCGTTCAATCCCTGGTCGGGGAACTAAGATCCTGCAAGCCACACGGCGTGGCCAAATAAATAAATGAAGGGAGCAGGTGAGGGGGTGACAATAAAATATGGATTAAATTCTAAAATACCAAGTAAAATAATTTTTAAAAAAGAGAATTGCTGGTTTGAGTAGGTATGTTTATGTTTAGTTTTATGATGAACTACCAGACTTTTCCCAAAGTTCCATTTTACATTTTCTTCTACAGTGTGTGAGAATTCTAGTTGCCTCCATATCCTTACCAACATATATTATTGTCAGTCTTTTTGTTTTTACCCATTCTGGCATGTGGATAGTAGTATATCTCTGGTATTAATTTACATTTCCCTAATGGCTAATGGTGTTCAGCACTTTTTATTTTTTTGAAGTATAGTTGATTTACAATGTTGTGTTTCTGGTGTACAGCAAAGTGATTCAATTATACATATATATTTTTATATATTTTTTCATATTCTTTTTTCATTAGAGCTTATTACAAGATAGTGAATATAGTTCCCTGTGCTATATAGTTTGTCTATTTTATGTATAGTAGTTTGTATCTGCTCATTCCAAACTCCTAATTTATCCCTCCCCCCCGTTTCCCCCTTGGTAATCTTAAGTCTGTGAGTCTGCTTTGTAAATAAGTTCATTTGTATCATATTTTAGTTTCTACATATAGTGATATCATATGTTATTTGTCTTTCTCTGACTGTTTTGCTGAAAGCCTGCTTTCGGTTTTAAGGTTCATTGGATTCGCTGCTAAAATAACCACTCGTCTCACACAAAGTTTTAATCAATTCTTTAATGAGAGGTGATTTAACTTAATTTTAATATAAAATCATTAGGAGAAGAATAAGAATATTAAAAAAACGTTACAGGGTATTTACATCACCGAATTGAGCCAACACCTACTTCCAGATCTAGACAGCAGCTGGGAAGTCCCAAGTAACAGCAATCTGGAGCCCCAGTTGGGAAGGGTCCTGGGTGGTACGTGCATCACACAGGTGAGACTTCAGGTTGGAGTTCTGGGGGCTTCTGTTTATAATTAAAGGCAGCAAACTATTATGAGTTTTTGCTCAAAAATTCAGCTCTGGTTCAGTTGTAACAATGCTGTTAATTTCATCATGTGAGTCACAAGATTTTCCAGACCCCAGGGGACTGGCCAGGTCCCCAGGGCTCAAGAAATTCCAAGACCCATTCCCTTTCTTATCGTTAGTGCTGCCTGACTTGCTAGCAGCAGTTGTTAGGTGTGCAAGCAGGCATGCAGTCCAGGCAGGGTCACAGGTCGATCAGAGGCCT